GGGGGGGGCAGCAAGGACACACCAAGTGGCTAGCAAATCAACGAACGACAACCTTCCTGCTCGGAGAGGTCCCTGCTTTTTCCCTGTCGTCTCACCCTAGCGGAGGGATGCCAGACTCGCCAGTTTGAGAGACTTTGCAATTTGGCCTTGGCACCTTGGAACAACAAAGACGGGCCTGTGAGTGGTCGCGACGGAGACTTCAAACAATGACTCCAGGGCCTGGCGTCACAGGTTCGACTAGGGGCCGCAGGCGAGCTAGCGGTGGTACAAGGTAGATCAGACAAACCCCCTGAGACGAAAGTGTGACAGCCACGGCCGCTAGGCCTGAATAGGTCACCTAAGAGCTCTCCAAGGGCCCTCACCGAGAGGTAGATGGGGTCAAAGGAGCTCCAGGAGTCTAGAGGGTCGAGTATCCGAGACCTGAGGGGGCGGGAGAAATCAGAGCCGGTATGATCCGGACCAATTGCGCCACAGTTTATAGCCCGAAAGCGACACTATCGGTGATCCAAGGATCGCGACAGTGCTTGCTCGATAGGCTTAAAGTTGCCGCTTGTCAATCCTGGGTTACATTCTGGGAGATCACCCGGACTCTTGGAGTCTGGCCCGAGGCAAGGAGAGCATTGAAATCGCTCAGGTGCCATGGATAATCAGGTCATACACATGTCCTTCTCAGCCCATCACCAGAGAAGCCAAACACTTGGCGACGAGTTGGGCAAGTAGAAGAATCCGCCATTGTGAATCTCCAAAGTCTTCTGAAGAAGGCAAATGCAAGCCACTTCAATCTGCGCCCAGCTGAGTAGAACCGTTTAAGGTTAGCCTTCTTCCATGCACCGCGCCTAGCCGACTAGGCCTCACGGCTATTTATGGGATCCATGCCCGTGCTCATTGTTGTCCGTGCCGAGCGGCGTTCCCCGAATAGGAATTTTACATTGTATTGAACGGACGCAAGTTTTACTCACAGTGATGTTCAATTTATTTGCCCGCTTTGATTGGCAGAAATGTAGGACAGATCTGAAGGTTGGTCTTCTTTTGTACTGTTCCATCGATCAAGCGATCAACTTGGTGCTCGAAGAAAAGTGTACTACAACTTTGCAAGTCGGTTCGCTGGAACCACTTCAGATGAATCCAACGCTACTGGAGAGACCCTCGGCCTTTTTCAATGACTAACGAAGCATGTGCCACGGGAGAATTGGCCGCAGAGCGTTCCATTCACTACGAAGCAGCGGGCTACCATTTAGGTACTGCTAAGTGGTAATAGGGGTGTTGCTTTTTCTAGACACGGGGTGCAGGTGTAATGCGATGCGTTCAAAGTCGGCTGGGAATAGGCGCCCCGATTAGTTTCCTTATGCTGACGTGAAATCTTTTGATAAAGGCTTTGTAAATAGCGTGGTTGATGGCTGTCACTCTCCCGGCTCTCCATGCACCCGCATCGCGCTGATTAGGGCTACGCGGTCCCATTCAGTCCAGCAGACGAAGAACCTTGAACCGAACGCCTTTTGTGTCATCTCGAGGCTCGCCCAACAAAAAGTCACGATAATGGTCAAGATTCCTTTTTCTGATGACATCGTGTAACTCCAGATCAAATCAGTGGAAGGTCTTCGTCGGAGCGATATAAATCTCTGCCCAGGCCCGGCTTTGTCGCGTATTACAGTCAGTTTGCGTGTCTGTTGTGAAAGAATCATAATATGCTGACTTGAGCACAATTCAATTCCGATGTCCGCGATCAAAGGAGAAAAAGACTTCGTCTTCAGGGCATAAATAGGGCAGGACTCGAGCCATGTCTCGGGGTCAAATCTTCTAGGGTCTGGAAAGACCCTGGGAATGGGATCCATCATCAGATCGGCAAATGTCATGCCCACGGGTGTCTTCCGGTTCAGGTAGGTTAGCGCAAAGTTAACTGAGACGAGGACGAAGGGGCACAGCGACAACATTATGAGCAGGGACAGCCTCAGAAGACCACTCCAGACATCAATCTTGCGTTTGGTGGGACTGCCCAATATTTGAGACATTCGGCAGACGCTTGCAGGACCACTATCATGGTTATGAGAGCGGAGATTCGAAGTGACTCTTTTATAACAGCGATCTTCTCAGCACATTCACGTCAGCAACTTGACTTCATATACAGCATACCTACGCTTTTCAAACTTGATCACTTACAGTCCAAGGCAAACTTTCACGCCTACTCAACTGCACGTCTTCATTTGGATCTGGTATGACAGCCCTCAGCTGTTCCATCAGCTTGGCGGCGTTGTCTGGATTCAAAAGTAGATAACATTCAGCAGTGGTCAGAGTTCTTCCAATTTCATCACTAGAAGTTGTCAAGACAGAGAATTTTTCTTTAGCCATTCGCTCTGGGGCAAGTTCGACATAAGAATTGCTTGCATGAGGCTACCGCTCTCTCCGGTCATGCTGCCAGGGGCTTCCGAGTCTTTGATAGCTACCTTGGCCTACTGTTTCATGTTCTACTTCAACATCAGACTCAGTGAAGTTTCCAAACTGATGAGTTGTTGACTTACCAATAGTACTTGGGTGACTAGACCTAGATCTTACAACACCCGTTGAATGAGTCAAATTTGGTAACTCAAACGCGCACATTAGAAACCATGGGAACTGTGTGACAATGGTGGTGAAATTAGGCAAACCAATGATGCTTGCTCTCCATATCTTGGCTTTTTCTTGGTCCTCCAACAAGCGCATGTCACCGCGTTCGCCAAGCGCAAGTGCACAGTAGAAGTCTGTGGTATAAGCCGGCAGCGGGATGCGAATGTTGAACGGAGTGCCCTCTTCGGCGTAGGTCTGGAAAACTTCGCAGAGTGTTTCGACCTTCTCGTAGATGAGGCCTCCGTGGAGAGCCACCGATTGCTTGGAGAAGAAGCCAGAGGTGGCAGACCGACGCATCCGATGAACATCATGGCTCGAGGTTCCATAGATGCCACTGGGAGCGCCCTGGACACTGGCACTCGGCAGATGATTGTGGCGACAAGCGCTCCCCGCAGCGAATAAGATGTTGAAAAATTCGTGATCACTGGCGTGAAGTTCATGAGGGTACATGTGTAAGATGAGACCATACTTCTTATGCATCTGTTGGATCTTGACGGCGAAGGTCTGACTGTGTGCACCAACGACTTCATAATACGCCTCGTACCAGCCGGTGAATGCTGACAGTTTTGGCTCAGAAAACTTTGTGAGGGGATGGAGTCTGATATTGTATATCCCTAGTGAGACGGCATAACGCAAGGGGGCCACCAGGAAGATGGCAGGAAGGTGCCTCCAGAAGAGTTCGAGGCGAGTATCGTTCAATTAAACACCAATGGTCGGTAAGTATATTTGAATCATGTTGAAAGTTCACGGCAGATATGGCTCCAAATCGGCGAGTGAAGAGGGAAAATTTGAACTATATCATTGTTGCAGTTGAGGCAGACCCGAATCTCGGAGGTCTGTGAATGAGCAGAAGCTGATGATAAAACCTGCATCTACGTATGGCAACTTTAAGGACGTACGAATGAGTCCAGTGCCTACGTGGCTATTGTTGACTCGATTGACAAGGAGCCATTCTACTCGGGCACCACCTTGCCTCTCATGGCATCCTGACACGACTCTCAATGACTTCAACCGGCCCATTTGATTGTACCATTTATCGGCTCTACCAGTAATCCGTTGCTTTTGACTGATAAGGTATCACTTCATATTTCATGCAGCCCCACTGCACGTAAGTCATTTTTTCAAGCTCGTTACATTACGGCGCGGCCACCAGATTATCACTGATTAGCAACCTTCTGTCTCGGGGATTGACAGTTCCGATGCGCACTCTCAAAGGCCCATGACAACTTGACTTCGAGGTCAGACCCAAAGCTGTATTTTAGCTAACATGTACTCTTGCCTCTATTAGGATTTTCTGCCTTGAGCGAGCTGTGACAAAGAAAATAATTGCTGCGGCTTTGCTCCATGAGTTCCTAGTTGTGTCGAAAGCGCTAGTCGTGATCTCATAAATACTTAGTTGTCATACCCAACATTTGTCATCCACAAAGTTTACATTGAATTTAAAAATCCACAGCGGTATCACTTGCAATCAACAGGGCGGCTATCAGATCTCTGGAGGAAAATGTTTATCAAAATCAATGAGTACTTTCTAGGAGGGCCAGGTTGTGCCATCGCGGCAAGTCCATTGCCCATATTCAATGCCTCAGCGTCCTTTTGGCATCATCTTACTTCATTAAAGGCATTCAATTGGTACCTATTGGTCATGATGATGAAGAATAAGCGCCTTTGTAATAAGCCATGAAGAAAATTGCGATGTGTATGGACTCGCCGCTCAATCGGATGGATCAAGTACCTGTGCGGGGGAGACGGGATTCCAGTAATTTCAAAGTCACCAGGCTTTGTTGATAGTCCTGATCCAAACATCGACTAAGTTGAATACATTGAAAGCATTTCACAGAAGATGAGAAAGTCGAAGCAAGACTGTACGCGTGTTCCAAGGGAAAAGATGGCCTATCTGCCGAAAAAGGTTAATAAGCAACAATGTCCAGAAAGATTTACGTATGTATACTCCAATCATGGAGAGACCTATTCCATTGACCAGCTTCTTGGGGGCATATTAAGCAAGTTTTTCAGACCAGTGGAACCCTTCCCAGAATTGTCAACGACTTTTCCACAAAGTTCAAAGGAAAAGGGGCATCGAGGAGGAAAACCCATACATCCGCAGAACTGATCCACAAGCTCTCAATGGAAGAGCCGGTCTGCATCATTATCAACGCCATCGGTGAGGCTAACAAAGAAACGAGAAAAGACCTCATTGAACTGTTAAGGTCATGCAGAAAAAAAGACATCAGCATATTCACTCTTGGCCACATCTTAGATTTAAAGGGACTTCAAGATTTTAGACAAGAATTTCCATCAAGTTCCTATTGAAACCGACAAGGACATTCGACTATTCATCAATCACATACTCAATAGGCATAGCGGCTTACAGGATTTGATAAATTAGCAAGTAAGCATGTCTGAGCTCCGCGCGACGTTGCATTTTTGATTCAATTACAAAGCCTCTTGCGAGTTGTGAACCTCAAAGCACTCATGACACGACAAGAGACATCCGCAACGGACTCGTCACTTCCTATGAAGGCAAGATATATTTTGTTCACCGCACGACACAGGTGTACTTAGGGAGAATATACACATATTAATTAGAGAGTTCCGGGTCCGAATCGGTTGTTCGTGCGCTGCCTACCTTTGCACTCAGGGGCTCAAAAGAATTGTTGGAAGGGATGAGGTACGTCTCAAGTCATGATTCCCACTCCTCTCGTATACTCTTGAATGCATTGGATGTAATTTACACCATCACACGGGCGAACAAATGAAGATGACGAAGAGTCACATTGTTGTCATGCTCGATGGAGATTTGAAGAGGAATTCTTACGCCGGTGGCTTCAACTACTGAATCTTATCCAACCAAAGCACGAGAGAATACTATACCGGTATCCTACTTTTCACACTGCGGGAGTCTTGCCGGGAAGCAGCCCGAAATGCACATGGAGGCCTAAAGAAACCCATTCTGAGAGCACCAATAGCTACGGCCCATTGTATACCCAAGTTATTGACGAATTTTTGGATGAACCTTCTGGGGCTTCCTAGCAAAAGACCAAGTCCATGGAACTGCACAGCTTACAGATGGGCTTCACTTCGCTTTGCTGCGAGCAATGTGCATCTTGAATGCGTTGAGGCGTTCCCAAGATACAAGGACGAACACTCCCCTTGTCTGATACGCCTCTGGCCCCCCTTGATATGGCCATCGGGCAACGTCGTGTACAGATAATCCAGGTCTTGAAGTCAAAAGGTGCCAAGCGCGGCAGAGATTACTATCACTACATTGATGCGCAACTGGGAAGCTTTCACACATCCTGCGATCAATCATCAAGACTCCCTTTCAGGATGGAAAATGGGGAGAAGGAAGACCAGGAAGAAAGGGCCCTTGAAGACGCAGATGCGGCCTTGAAGGCTCAGGACGGCTTTGAGGCAGCTTTGTTGAGACTTGAAGAAAAGGTGCAGATTCCAGTGCAGGCGAAAAAAGATGTTCTTTCACCTTTTCTTCCGCACCATCCGCGCCATAAGGGTCAGTTTTTTTCTGTTTTGGCAATCTTGAGCCACTGGCCGACAATGAACACGTCGTGGTGGTGTCGAACTTCGCTTCTGACTGAAGGACCACCACTGCATCTGGCCTGAAGCGATGAGAGGGAATCGCAAAAGCGCTACAATAGTTGGAGAATACTTAAATCGATCGTACTGGACATAATTACTTTGTTCATCACGTTTCTGAAAACATATTCTGGTAGTACTTTGATAGGTAGTCTGAGAGCATGGTCAAATGAGTATGATGCCGTCTGTCATTCGAGACAGCAAGCGCAAAGAATGCACCAAACTCGTTCAGGGCCGTGTTCCACGATTGCGCCATTATGCATAACGTTATTGCATATGGCAAATGTCATCACTGTCGCCACGGGACCGAAGTTCCATGGTGCTTATGAATCAAGTGATTCGTTGTTCAGGGTTTTCATTTCCCACGTCTGAATCGTTATATTTTATCTGCCGAAGTTTCGACAGTTATAAATCCCTTGATTCATGTTTGAAAACGGTCGAAAGGTGACACCTAGGCATTGCTCGACAAACAGCTCCTTTAAGAAAGTGCCCTGGTTAGTATCGCACCAATTTCGACGGTGAAGCTACACACACCTGTAAAATCTGCTTGCAATGACGCAAGCAATCCCCCAAACAGGCCAGCTCTGGAAGGTCATCGGAACAAATGGACTGGACTCACTCCACTTCTCGGAACAAAAAATTCCAGAAGTCGGCGACAGCCAGGTCTTGGTCAAGTGTTTGTTCACCATGCTGCCCCCTTATGGCCCCGAGGTACATGTAACTAATAGAGAACACCTGCTTTTAGTACAAGGCGCCACTCTGAATGTGAGTCCTCATTCTCGAATGGTACAGATTCCAGTTGACTGAGCTTCTTCGTAGTATCGAGACCTGACCATCATTGAAGGCAGATACCCTTGGGACGTCAAACCAGACGTTGTTCCCGGGTCTGATGGCGCAGGCACAGTACTAGCTGTTGGCAAGCACGTTACTCGATTCAAGCAAGGTGACAAAGTGCTCACGACACTTTCTCAAAGCTATATTGGAGGATCTTTCACCGACGAGATACCAAAGTCTGGACTCGGCGGTGTACTCGACGGGACGTTTCGCACCTTTGGGGTCTTCAACGAACAAGGACTCGTTCCGCTGCCTCGAGGCTTGAGCTTCATTGAGGGCGCGTCCCTGGCGTGTGCTGGTGTCACTGCCTGGAACGCCCTCTTTGGACTGCCCGGTAAGCAAGTCTCGGCTGGACAATGGGTTCTTACGCAGGGCACAGGTGGAGTGAGCACTTTCGCCATTCAGTTCGCCAAAGCTGTCGGGGCCAGGGTGATTGCAACCACCAGCTCTGCCGAGAAGGCGAAACATCTCGAAAAGCTCGGGGTTGACCATATCATCAACTACCGCGAGACTATCGAGTGGGGGCAGGAAGCGAAAAGGTTGACCGGAGGTGTTGGCGTTGATTTGGTCGTCGAAGTTGCGGGACCGACGACGTTGAGGGAGAGCCTCATCAGTTGTAGACTCGACGGCTCCATCATAACCACTGGGTTTGCTGGCGGTAATCCAGCTGGGCACGACATGCCGACGTTTCTGGATTCGTGGTTGAGTCTAGTCACCGTTCGAGGAGTCTGGTGCGGCAGTCGACTACAGCTCGAAGACATGTGTCGGGCCATCGAGGCCGACTTGGACAAGCTGCGCCCTGTCATTGATCCCAAGGTCTTCAATCTGAAACAGCTCAAGGAGGCGTATGTGTACTTGCAGTCAGGAAAACATCAGGGAAAAGTCGGCATCGAAATCAATTGAGACGGCTCAGCATCACTTAATTAGTCAAGTGTGCATTTTGCCTGGCATTTTCCCACGAAATACGTCCTTGCAGAACAAGAATGAGGTTTCATGTGTTTTATTTGGTGAACCTCATTTGTGGAAATGAACAGGGCACGGTATAATTGCCTTGTCCGTAACTCATGATCGTTCTTCTGTATGTGGGCACTCATAGTTCAGAGTTTACTGGGTAAGTACGCTTCGCCTCCGTTTTGAAGAGAGGTGTCCGCGGCAGCCGACATTAGAGAGGTTCAAGAGGACTTTCTCCTACTTGCCCCAATGAATACATCCTGGGTGTTTTCATAGAGTCTACCTTTAGTTCGCGGGACACACCATACACAAGGTTAAGCAAGCACCTTAATTGCTTACTTTCGCTTCTCGCATAGGCACATTGACAAGCAATAAGCGTCTACATCCCTCAGCTAGGAGCTTCAACGGCTGTTTTGGACCGAAGTACAGCGTAGCCTGCATCAAACGACTTCTGAACCGTGCCGAAATCCGACTTCCCGTTTTCTGATGAGTCATGGCTACCTTATTCCATACTCGCCAATGCAGTCCAAGATTGAGAGGCGCAAGAAGAAAAAGTCTAAGCTCCTGATGTTTGGCCAAAGCTTTCTGGCGGGAAAGTCTCCGCAATAGGTAACGTAGATAAAGTCTGTTATATGAGGATCACTATGGGCATATAGCCTGTGTTATGCCCTTTGTTTTCAATAAGAGTAGAGTTCATGCAAAACTCGTGCCCCTAAATCTAAGCTCAGAATTTCTGCCAGCAGATCATATCATCAATCCGAAGCAATTCTGCCTCAGATAATTAGAATTCCTCTGCGTGCGGGCCACAGCTGTATCACTGAGATCAACACTACCTAATTCGTCAACCCCCATTGCTCTCATCTTTTCATCTTTGACACCAGCGCTCATCTGGACATATTCCGGATGATTACCGACTTACCTCATGCTTGCAACTTATCTTCCAAGTCTCAAGAATGGTAGTGTCTACCCCGTCCAATCGCCAGGCACATCTCAAGCATCGTTCGGCTGAGCTTTCGGGTCCTCGGGAAAGCAGGCCATAATTTGAGATTTGTCCACCATCGAGAAGAACGGATCGTTAGACTTCCGGGAGAAACAAAACAAAAAGAACGTTGCCCCAAAACGCAGAGACCATGACGGGACGAAGTCGAGATGGTGTGCGTGTCCAGCTGCAAAGTCAATGCTTGATTCGGGCCAATCGACTTGGAAAGATGTCGGACGTCAAATGTCTCGATCCCTCTCCAGTGCCATGTGTCATCACCCTTCAGACTTTTGGCGCAAACTTCATTAGATGAACAAACTTTGTCATTGCAAACATGACTGGCTGAGAGCACGCTTATTGATGGATTACAACATTGCAACTGGTCTTTAAGGCTTCGACAACTTTGTCCCAACATCCCGGCCCGAACTATAGTAGCCAGTGTCACGTTGATTGCCGATTTGTGGAGTCAGATGGGGGTCCCTGCTTTCGGGCCCAACAGCGGTTGGTTCGAGGCGCCCATGATTCAAAGAGATTAATCGGTGGAGACAGGGGAGAATAAGGGGTGGTGCGCAGCAACTGCCAACTGGACAGAAGATATCAATTCACCCGCATATCAACTCGGGCTACTAACAACGCTCGATGGTCCATGTCACAATCCTGATTGACATGAAACGCTGTCATTTGAAAGGTGCAGTCCCCATCCCCACCAAATGCATCTTTCTCAAGAACAAGCGCCTGATCGGTGCAACGGCCGATGCACTAAACAAACCTTCACATATGATGTTGAACCAGAGCCCGTTGATTCCGGCTGAATCCAGTGAGCCGCATTGCCAGGCATGCCAGTCATTCCCAAAATGTCTTGGTCACCCGTTCGGACGGTTGACAGTCTAGGAAGATCCTCCAATCAGTAAGGCCATGGACTGCCTCTGTTGCTATTCCCAAGGCTGGATCTGATGGATATATAACACTTTCCCTTGGCACTTACTTGGCAAATAGTTCTTCAGCCAGTCTCCAATTCTCACCACCAATCACTTTCTCTGTTCGATTCATTCTTCCTACCGTCATTCTTTTTTGCTCCACGCCCAAGATGGCCAAGTTTTTCATCACTGCTATGGTTCTGCTGAACGTCGTTCTGGTAGCGGCGTCTCCTCATGGCCACCACACCTCTCACGCTCGCTATCCCAAATCCGCTCGTCCAAGCAAAACCGCTCCTGCAAGCCACCCCAGTCCTCTCCCCAGCGGCACCAATCCTGTCCCAAGCAACAGCGTAAGTCAGCCCTAATAAGACCCATCCGATGCGCGCCAAGGCCGGCAATCTGACTGACCCGTTTCTCGCCCACTTTTAGACCGGCGGCGGCTGCGTTATCACCAAGTACGAAGACATTGCGAATGCTGTCAAGACATGCACCGCTATCACGCTCTCTAACATTGCCGCGCCCGCCAACGGTGCTATTGACCTCTCCGACCTTAAGCCGGGCACTACAGTCACATTTGCCGGCACGACCGTATGTTTTTCGGGTTGCGTGAGGTCCGATGATCGGGTACTAACTCCGCGCCCAGACCTTTGCCAAAACTGAGGACAGCAATTTCGACCCCATCATCATTTCTGGAACCGACATCACTGTTACTGGCGCCCCCGGAAATGTGATTGATGGCAATGGCCCCGCTTATTGGGACGGCCAGGGATCCAACGGCGGTAGCCCGAAGTGGGTGGCTACTCTCAGTGCAGACCGAGAGTATTGAAGGCTAATCAGTGAAATTAGGCCTGACCACTTTATTGTTGTCAAGAAGACTACCAACTCCAAGATCAACAACCTGAACATTAAGAACTGGCCCGTCCACTGCTTCTCCATAACTGGCAGCAAGGATCTCACCGTCTCCGACCTCGTCCTGGACAACTCTGCCGGTGACGCGCCCAACGCCAAGAGCGGCGGCAAGCCCGCTGCCCACAACAGTGACGGCTTCGACATTTCGTCCTGCGACAACGTTGTGCTGAGGAACATTAGGGTCATCAACCAGGACGACTGCGTCGCCATCACCAGCGGAACCAATATCACTGTCGACAGGGTGTCCTGCGTCGGAGGTCACGGCATAAGCCTTGGCTCGATCGGCGGCAAGAGCAACAACGTCGTTGACGGTGTTATGTTTTCCAACTCACATGTCGCCAACAGCGCCAACGGATGCCGCATCAAAACCAACTCCGGCGCCACTGGCTCAGTCAACAACGTTACATACAAGAACATCACTCTGACCGACATCGACACGTACGGTATTGATATCCAGCAGGACTACCTCAATGGCGGACCGACTGGCAAGCCTACAAACGGAGTCAAGATAAGCGGCATTTCATTCATCGATGTGACTGGAACCGTCAAGCCCGAAGCTGTCCCCATGAACATACTCTGCGGTGAAGATAGCTGCAATCAAATCACCTTTGAGAATACCAAGATCACGGGTGGAAAGACCAGCACTTGCAACTCCCCCGCCAGCGGATGCCCATCATAACACAACGACCGTTTCATGTATATATTGAAAAGAAAATCACGAATAAGGATACGACGCACATATTAGGAGGTTGATTTCTGCGGCGACTTCGACCAATTCGGCACCGGGCCCTGCGGGTTTTCTGGCGCCGGATGGGGTCCTGGGATAGTTTAGCCAATGAATACCTATATTCACCCTTCATGATTAATGAGGCCGCAGCTCCCACAGCACAGTAAAAGGACGTCTCTGCCGCTTCTCGACGAGCTTTATAGGCATTGTTGGCGTCACGGGATGCGCCCTCCCGTGCTGATTGCTTTGACACGGATTTATTAGCTTTATATAGTCATGTGTTCCGCTGAATGCCTTGGCAGGCCACGTGGAGATCCTGGCTTCTGCATTAAGAAGCAAATGGTAATGGCTCACCCCAAAACCCCGTTGTTGCGCTCTTTTAGCTTGCATCACCGCCTTTGGTATGATCATGACAGTAAGCGAGGTTGGATTCTGAGAGTGCACGAAATCAGCTTCCAAGGCATACAACGCGGCGGCAAGCACTAAATGCAATTATGCGAGGTCTGCGAAAAGTCCAGGCGTCGCCAATGGCCTCGCAAGGTCTGCGCGCCATATTGAGAGAGGACACTAAGTGTGATGGAGCCGACCCTTTTTGCGGCAGGTTTGAGAGAGTTGGACTACAGTGTGCATACGTCAGAAACGTCACATTCAAGTAGTGCAGAATACCTGACTTTAGCATCTCTGCCCAGGAAGAATCTCTCCATGGCGGACTTGGATGACACGCTCAGGCGCATGGAAGCGAACTAAATACTCTGAATGAACATGCTAAGGATACTCGAAGCACTGCAGACAGACAATCACATTTACAGAACCCGCAATCTAAAATGACCGAGCCCTCGGATTTGATGGAAGCAATAAGCCCAATCAGTGTGTTCTTGCCTTCCAAACCGTTATCAGCCCTATTCAGCCCAGATCCGACAAGAACCCGCCATCCTGGAAAGGCATTATACGGCACAACATCTCCTTCCATGGCCTTGCTCTCCACTCACCCTGTCGGAGCTTCGTTTGCGCTATCCAGTTGCATGAGAAATATGACGACTCAAGATGCGCAAATTCAGAGCGCTCCCAAGGTGGCTTGCTCCAGCTTCTACACAAGATCATGACTAGCTGTCCAATCGATCGCTGGCGCAACTGCATGACCTACCCGAATCCTACTTCAGCCACCAATATCTCGTTTTAGACAAAGACAAATGTAATAGTAATCATCTGAATCAAGCTCTCAGGCTAGGGTTTGCTGGCCTGATCGATCAAACAGACTGTGCAAGCGTTCACTGCCTTCTGCTTATGGCGTAAGCAGAGCTTGTATCTCTGCAGGAAGACACGTTCCTGAGGTAATGAAGTTCAACAACCTTTTCAACTCATCAATTTTCAGGATTTACGACTAATGGCGTTTCAGTCAGAGAGCACGCTCAGTTATGATAATTATACTGCCACTGAAGGTCTAATGAATCGTACACTGTCGACCGTGATGTAAGATTTATTGACAAGTCTGAACTAGGCAAGCCAATTGAAGGCCCACCACTGTCAGCTGTACTGGACTGCTTATCCGCAAAAAAGGTACCGAGGCTCTCGATGATGACCCCTAGAACTTTTTTTGTTAATTGACCAGCATGCAAATCCTCATTGGATTCGGCTTCCTACCCAGCGGGTTGGGTGGTCTTGGAATTGCAGCGCCTCCGCCGCTACTCCCCGACGAGTGCCGACTTGGACATAGAGTGCAGTCCCCATCTCACTCTATTGCAGCGGAACTAAGCAAAGACGATCCAATACCGTGCTCACGTGTATCGCCGTCTACACACCTCAGAAACGTCAGCCCTGTCCGAACAAGATGTCCAGGGCACCAAGATCGCGATGTCTTCGGCCATCAATGGGGTATTGCACGGTGATATACCCCAGGGGCCTCTCGTGCTCCATCTTTTCCCTTTCAACGCTTTTAAAACGTTAGTTTAAAACCCTCTTGACACTTGACGGCGAAACGATTGACAAGCATGCTAGTCTTTTCGGAATCGAGATCTAGACCCAGTTCATTCTGCGTACTTAAGAGCAGTCGAAAGTCATGCGCCAGAAGGCTAGTAAATCGCACTTCAGGCGCAAGAGTTAGCAGCCAAAGCGGCATCTGGTTTTCCAACAACAATTGCCAAAGATTAAGGGTTTTGCGCTCGCTGTCTTGACTAGATGTAAGGGTTTCCTCATGACATTGATCGCCGCAATGAACATATCGCAGCTCTCAATGACTACTCTGGTAATGACTACTCTGGTACCCAGCCAAGGACCTCAATGAACCCATTGGAAATCATTCGGATTTCTGCCTCCAGCCCTTCCTCTCCCGACTCCCTCGCCGCGCTTATTCTGAATTACGCGTTGCCCGCCACCATCCACTTCTGAACGCTGTTATCCCGGTAAGACACGCTCACCTTATCAAGCGTCGTCCGAGCGATCACCGTCTCCCCGGGGTGTACGAGGGCCTTGTCCCAGCCCTTGAGCTCCTTTGGCGGGCGGCCCAGCCGCGGCCTCGACACCGGACTGACGTAGAACTATACAATCTCCTTGCCTCTGCGTCTACCGTGTTTGTCACATCAGCTTCAACCTCGATTCTTCCGGTTTCCTCTAGCATGTTGGTGTTTAATCTCAGGTTCGTGTACTCGAAAGTGGTGTACGAACAGCCCGAGCCGAATGGGAACAGTGGGTCAATCTTGCAATGGTCGTAACGCTTGTACCTGAGATAGATATTCTCTCCATAGTGAACCACGTCGGTCTCCTCGAAATGGTTGTTGAATGATCTTATGTCCTCAATGCGGTGTGGGGATGTGATTGGCAGTTTTCCGCACGGAGGAGCCGTTCCGAGAAGGACGTCCGCCAGACTGTTACCCTGCTTCTGGCCTTGGTACCAAACATTGAAAAACAGCCTGGACCTCGTCTATCCAGGCCATAGTGAACGGTTTCCCGTTTGGTTTACCACGATCACATTGGAGTTCACCTTGGCCACGGCAAAGATCAACTCATTGGACCGGCCTGGTAGATCCATGGACGCCATGTCGCTCGTCTCCATCTCCCGGTCCTGGTCTCTGCCTATAACGACAATGGCAACATCACTAGTCCTGACAAGCTCGATAGCTTCCTACAGCATGATGTGAGGGTCCCCAGTATTCTCCACAAATCCGATGCGGCCGCCGTCCTGAACCTCTTCGCGCTCCAACATGCCCACATACGTCAGGTTGTGGGGTTTCGGCTCACGGCTGGGCGACTCAAGCACAAGCTCGTATGACCTACCAGCTTCGAGGGTTACATCAAGTTGTTCTTCGGGCGAATCGTAGCTCATGAAAAGAAATGACATGATTGACCACCATTCTCGCTCGATGTCGACGATGGCCTTGCCGTCGAGTATGAGTTTGCCAGGGCCACAGCTAAAGAGGAAAAGCCGATAAGCCTCACTTGTCTTCGGTATGATTAGTTTCCTAGCAGGGAAGGAATAGCGCTCTTCAGTCGTCAACTCAGGAGAGAGATCATGGTAGCAAACTAGGTTCGAACTCGGCAGATGTTCCACCATGGACGCATTGCGCTCAAGCTTCATGGTTCTCCAACGAGACAGAACAAACCCTCTTTTTGGGGTTACGCATGACTGTAAGAATCCATCAGAGGAAGGTGTCGATTTCGGTCGCAACTGTTGCTGATGGAAACGCTTCACAGAACTCCCTTTGAAAGGATTCGAAAAGTGTATTCCGGTAGTGAGGCGCGACGTTCGAGCTCCCGCCTCCCGCGCCTACCGATCCTGCGGCGTTGGGCCGGTGAACACGATGGTCTTACAGTCGAGATCTTTCAGGGAGGATTCGAGTTCTCGATCTTCCGAAGAACAATGCCTACCCGTTTCATTAGTGGGCTACATTTTGCAGGCTGCTTTCGAATGTACACGTGCCTTGAGGAGATGCTTGCTTCTCCTACTCACTGGTCCAAGCATCTCCAAATCCAACCTGAATCTCCATCAGTCTCAATTATCAGCATTCGGTATTTGAATGAAATTTTACCCTGCTGTCAGCGAAGGCGAAATGCTCTTGGCCCCAAATCAATCACTGTGCTCATCGCTAAGCCATCCCAGCCCCATTCGCCACGGAGGATGTCTCTAATGAGGTAGTTTACCGAGCAGGAATCTTTTTTGATCCTGTTGTAAGTTGTCATGATCGACCACGGTTCACTGTCACGAACTGCAATCTGAAAAGGCTGCAGGTGGATTTAACGGACGGCACGCTCGGAAATCATCTCGCTGATGATGATGAAACGGTGGGTTTCTTGGTCATTTATGGAGTAGCGCTTGGCACAAGCTCCTATGCCAGCAGCTTGAATGGTGTTGATGTACCCGTCAGCGAGTTTGCGCGTCAAAAGGGTCCTCGCCGTGAGTCTCGAGATTGCGTCCGCTCAGCGGAGTGCGAGGAATACAGACTACGCAGTGTTCAGATTCACAGTCGTCATTTGGGGCGTTGACAAGCTTCAGGCAAAGACGTCTCACCAATTGGCCCTAATAGCACATTAAATCCCTTGCTTTTGGCTTCCGCTATTAATATCTGTGAGAGTTGATGACCTGCTTATCCTATATAGCCGCCAACGATACATTGTTACAATTTTGTTAGTCGTGACGCTACGAATAGAGGTTTCGTTAGGATGAATATCACTCAACCAAATCGCAACGAAGCTGTAGTAACTTTGGCGACAAAGATGCCTCCGCGAACACTCCGGTGGGCCCTCCAAAGGTTATGATACGGGATATTCCCAATATTGGGATGGGATTTGTCCGCCAGAGGTCTGCGCCTGTCAGCAACAACACTTTCCTCCTCAATAATCATTTACTTCGACTTTCTCGAGAGAAATTTGTCGCGTCCTGGGGTACTTCAGCCACATCAATGCGCGATACTTTGTGGCCTCTGCCCCATTTCTCGTTTTCAAACATGTTGCTAGTGGGAACCTTGTCGAGAGAAGGCCTGGAGTGTGAGATCTAAGAAATTTGGCCTCGGGTGTTCTAAGACCTAGGACAGAATGACTTCGACTAAGAGTGAGAGCTCTTTGGTAGATGCGAGATCAGATACTTTCTATTGGGAACGGGCCATGTTCTGGCATATTCAATGCAGTAACAAACCGATCCCAAAATATGGCAGGCTGACTTCTACAATCTGCACCGTCAGACTCCTTCCGTTTCTCCCTGCAGGAATCAGTTGCAGGGAGCTAAGCGGCAAATGTAAAAGCTCACGCTGAGTTGGGGGTAGGACGGGAAACCATACGGGATACTTGCGACCCCACCAAAGACAAGTGGCATTGGATTCAGTTCGTCTCTTACCCGCAGAGCCGATCCGGGGTTGAATTCGAAGGGAACCAGATCATGGGATCAGGTTCGAAGCCATGTCGCATATTTCTGGTAGAGCTTATCAACCCTGGACTCGACTTGCCCAATGAATTCCTCCTTCATGAACAGCTCTGTTGGTGGCTGAGTTGGATTATAGCCGTCAAACAGGATCATACCATTTCTTATAAGTGGACCCCAAAGACCCGGGCGAAGGAGTTGTAATGCTGACAGCCATAGATCTCATAGCCTCAAAACTCCAGTTCGGCTTTCATCCAGCCGGCAAGATGGATTCCGAGACTATGTCCTCTCGGCCCTAGACCGTAGCAAAGATCCCGGTCTCAGACAGCCGCTTCGCACTCTCCTCTCTCACGCCGTCTTTCATCCGACTATATAGCATACTCGCACCAGCCTGTCTCATTGTCTGCGCAACCGAAGATTACGACTGATCCGTGATAACAGGACTCCAGGGCGTCGCTGCGTAGAACAGAGAGTGTAAAAGTCCCAATGGTGCCCTCCTCGGCTTCACCAGCGCCGCGTATCCCCTCAGCGCAATCGTCTCGACCTCCTTTTCGGCCTTCGTCCCCGTTCGCTTTAGAAAGTGTTCCATCCTAACCGGCAACAGCATCATTGGTGTCCTAATCTAATGCCTCAGCCACTCCATTGGACATTTCATCAGCGGCCGCACCGTCGTCGGCTTCGGCATCACCGTGGCCCCCGCCGCCGCCGCGGTCTTGATCCCGGAGCTCGCGCGCCCCCGGCACCGGACTTTTTTTTGGGCTCGTTGTATAACACCAGCTTCTACCTGCGGTGCCCTCATGGCGAGATGGGTCACGCGTGGGAGCTACGGCATCGCCGGCTCCTGAGAATGGCGCCTGCTCACCAAGTCACAGGCACTCCCAGCGCTGATCCAGATGATCTTTGTCTGGTTCCTGGACGAGTCGCCTCGGTGGCTTTGTTACAAGGACCCATGCGAAGAAGTTTTGGAATCCTGGCGAAACACCACGGAGATGGAGGCCCATCTAGGCCGTTGCTTATCGCAGAGTTTCATGAGATGAAGATGGCACTACAGCTGGAGAAGCAGGTCAAGGATGTAGGATTAAGACTTTCTTCAAGTCGTCAGCCGGCAGGAAGCGACTCTTACTTTCGGTCGGTAACTCTTGCTGATATTGGGCAGACATCTGGCAACGTTCTGGCATCTTAATACCTCACAGAGATCTTCATCTGCATCGGTCATCGCGAGTCAACACGAGCAGACGATGCTAAACGGAGTCATCAGCACTGTGAACCAGGCGACTGCCCTGTTCGCGGCGGCTCTTTCGACTAGGATCAGCCGCCGATGGATGTTTTTCAGCGTGTGTCGGAGGCGGCATCGCCAGGTGGCTCAATTTTTTGTCACATACTACCAGCATCACAGTTTACAATACAAACGGAACGGGCTGCCAGACAAGCTGCTCTTACTTTTATCTTCATCTTGTGAACTGCCTTCAACCCTTGCCTCAAATCCCTCCTCTTCCTCTACCCAACAAAGATTCTACCCAACAGAGATTCTACCCTTCAGGCGTCGGGTTATGGGTCCCAGCCTTCTTGTCTTGACTAAGAAGGCCGCGTCATTGTTAAACCAGTACATTGAAACGCCCAACCTGAGCAACTCTTTTGCTCTCAGGAAGAGCAACAAAGCGCAAGATATACACACGGAGCCATCCGTTACCTGGATGTTCAATCCAATCCATCTCAACACAAGCTTTGGCATGCTTACTTTGCCAAGACTAAGAGCATGTAGCAGCAAACCAATGCCACAAAAAGAGAAAAATGAAAGGGACGAGACTCGAACTCGCGCGGGTTGCCCCACCAGGAAACAGATGTTAAGCTGACCTTAACCTGGCGCCATAACCAACTCGGCCACCCTTCCGTGATCATGTTCGCTCCGAGGGAGGTACTCGGGATGCGATTGTGGATGCCGGTGGGAGCCGGCCAAGCTGCTCATAACCCGGCGGGGTGTAGTGTATGAGTTTGTGCGTTTGTGCGGGTTCAGCCAGGGCTATGGAGCCGGATGGGGAGACGTGATGCACCGGCGGACGGACGGACGGAGAGGGGGTAGGGGCACGCCATCAGTGTTGGCCCTGTTGGAGCTGACATGATGATAGCCTGACGGTGTTGACACAGAGGCTCCAAGACTGCATGTGAAGAGGCACCACTGGTCACCCTCCTTCAGTTCAGTGACTCTAGTTCATGACGTCGGATAGAGTTCCTTAAGGCGTCAAATTCGTCGATTGACAAACCGTTGCGGCTGAGACCCGACCGATACTTTCCGTCTACCCGCCCAGCCGCAGCTGGTTCAGCACGCGCCAAATGCACAACGGAGGCCAAAGAGAGTGCCTGTCGCCCATTCGGTAGGGAAGGGTCGTCGGTATAGGAGGTACGGATACTTCAGGAATGCATAACGAGTCCCTTCATTAGCCAGTCCTCACAGGCAGCATGCCATCGTGCCGCTATCCGGCATAAACATTAAATGACTTGCATCACAATACAAAGAAGAGAGAGAGAGAGGGAGAGGGAGAGAAGAGGCCCACAGAAACGTCAAAAGTCTCGTCCCGCTGCGCCCCGAAATACAGAGTTGCCAAAAATACCCGAACGAGATTGACTACTGAAGAAGTGTGAAAAAAAAAAAAAAATTACTGACTGGCACACACACACACACACACATCCTTCTGTGTCTGTGTCTGTGTGCACCAAGAGTCTAAGCATGCAGGCCCGGCCTTGGATCTTGAATGATCAACGACAAGGTCAAGGCAGGACCGCGCAGCACTGCCACCAATGTTTACCACTATTGACTCCAAGCGAGGGAAGAAAAAAAAGAAACCAAGTTTTTACTCGGATTGGTAGTCTCTTCCTTCCCTTTTCTGTTTCTTTTCGTCCGGTTAGTCCAATGCTGGAGTAAACAAAATCAAAACCTTTTGACCAAATGGGATGAAGATGCACAAAAGAGAAGAACACGAGACGACGCGCCCGACCCAAAAGTCGAGCCCCGATTACGAATGCCCTCTATACCTACGATTCGAGACCAGAGCGTCACTGTGGACGACTATTTCCTTTAACGCCAACAACTCCCTTCCCTGGCTTCGACGGTTGCCGACACTTCGATGTGGCCGATTGTGGGA